TCCAACCTAAGGCAAATCCACTTGGAATGTTTTCGGAACTATATAACATTAAACATGAGAATATAACAAACAAAATCGCAGTTGGTTCATACTCTTCTTTGCTTCTTTATGTTATTCTCCAGTTCAATGAGAACTCAAAGTCCAACCTTACCCAAGCTAAAGAACTAAAGAAATAGCAGTATAACAGGAGAAGCAACGAAAATAAAGTTTACTAATTTGAGAATGGCAAAACAAGTGTGAAATAGAATGAGATTTATACTAGAATCTTAAATCAACACTCGCAACGGAAAATAGAAAAACGAAGAACGGAGCTTATATTTTTTGGTTATAAGAAGAGGTAGATTGGGAGAAAGGAAAAGAAAAAAACTGAGAGTGCAATGGAAGATGAGGGGCTTGAGCATCTGGAGAATAGAATAGAGTGTATTAGTTAAGGGCTTGTGCAGATATGGAACAAATGAGAGAAATTCCAGATAAGTGAGAGAGAATATAAAAGAGAAGGTTAAGACAGTGTTTTCAAAAGAATGGAAACAGATTATGAACTAGGAATATGTTGGTTTCACAGAGTTGATTACGAATTTGACAGTTGAAAACAGATTTACGATCAGAGAGTTATTTGAGTGAAATCAATCAATGATTTAGAATTTTTGGTTCTATTTTATTAAATTTATTTAAAGATAAATATAATTTTCAGTAAATAAATTAGTATCAGTTATCTTTTTTATTTTTAAAGTGTTGACTTATGTGGCTAAAAAATAATCACCTGTGTGCTTATATTTATTGTTGATTGAGTCGGTCAATTTGACTGAAGATATAAAGCATAAGGTAATGAGTTGTCCAAAAATAAATTATAAAATCTTAAATTAAAAAATATCAAATTATCAAGAATCATATTAAAAATAAAAACATTAATAACTAAAAAGAGTAGATACATAAATCAAATGAAAAGCTAGGTATTATGCAAATGAATGTATAAAACCTAAAATATTAATATTTCTTATCTTGACATATTGATAATAATCTTATGTATTAATTCTAAATCTATATAAATGTAACGGCGTTAACACGTATCCCTTTATTTTAGTAGAAAAAATAATTGTGTTAAGGTGTTCATTATGTTTTCCGTTATATCATTCATCTTTATATAGTTTTCAGTTAAAGTGCGGAAAAGAATCATAAGTTACATTAAAAAATCTCGATTTTTGCTGCTTCTTATCGGCGAGGTGAATTTTGAATGGTTTGTCACTAACCTAAGCTATGCGTAAGTTAATTGTTTTGTTTTTGTGCTTATTTCGCTTTACAATTTCTTTTATTCTTATTGTATCTCTATTCTTTTTAATTGTAACACGCTCGTAGCATTTTTAATAATGTCTTCGTTTTAAATTTTTAAACAGGGTAAGAGATAAGACTTAAGTACAACACAAGTAATTTGCTCTTATTAACAGTATTATATCTGTTGGTTATATATTTTTGCACAGAGAATCAAAATACTAAAACGGAGAATTTCTTACTCGCTCTGACAATAAAACCTTTCGATAAGGCATGCGTAATGGAAGATCTGTCTGAAATAAAACTCGTAACTATAAGTAAAGAGGTCGATCAATTAACAGTACTTCAATCCGAATCATTTTCTTCAAATGAAGACTCTAAAGGTAAAACATGTACAAGTATGTATATTATTTTGATTGTACATATTGTTTTTGATTGTGTGAGCATTACAAATTCATTATGATCTTATTGATTACTAAGCCATTTATTTATTTATTTTAAACATTTAGTCATTTTTTTTTAAATCCCAATAATTTTATAAAAAGAGTTATTTCATTTTAAATTATTTCTGAGCAAGTTCATGAACAAGGTTATTGGCTAATTGGATTGAAATCTGAATAATTCTTAATCTTTTAAAAACTGAAATCTGAATAATCGTTTGGATCAAAACTGTTGATTGAGAAAATTATTGTTTGAAGAAGAAAATATTTTAAATCTTGGCAATTTTCATTATTATTCTTTTAATTTGGACTGGTAACCTTCATTTTCTTTCCAGAAACACAGATTTTGCCTCCCGTGAAGATATTTTCCTTCTGAATCCAGATTTTCTCCAATAAATACCGATTTTTTTGACCTTATAATCTTGCTCATTCTGAGAAGGGTAGAAAAAATAAAAGAAAAAAAAACACCAAACAAGACCTTGCATACTAAAATTGCCAATATACCATCGCCCCCAACCTATTGTGAAAAGTAAATTCATAACATAAATCCTCTCAAAATGTATAAAAATCTCAAAAATTTAATGTCTTTCAACTCATTTTTTATAGTAAATTCATAACATTAATCATCTCACAATGTATAAAATCACAAAAATTTAATGTCTTCTAATTCACTGTATATAGCAAATTCATAACATAAATCTTCTTGAATGGCATAAAATTTCAAAATTTTAATGTCTTTCAAATCGCTTTTCATAGCAAATTCATAATATAAATAATCTCATAAAGTATAAAATGATAAAAATTTAATGTCTTCCAACCCACTTTACATAGAAAATCCATAATATAAATCTTTTGAAATGGTATAAGATCGCAAAAATTTAATGTCTTTCAACCCATTTTACATAGTAAATTCATAACATAAATCCTCTCACAAGCTATAAAATCCTTAAAATTTAATATTTTTTACTAAAACCATGAAACCTATCAATGCCAATTTGAAAGATAATCAATTTGTCAACAGAAAATGTTTGTCACTTTTCAGTAATGAATTTGGGATTTTTTGAATATTTATTTCATGTTTTGACTCTATAAATACCCTACACGGAGTGTTGAACAATCACAGCAAACACCTGATAGTTGACAAGCAACTTCAGCGTGAAAAAAAATGGGTCGTTCTCGGAGGAATTTCCACTCCGAGGAAGACCCGACCAGAAGGTGTGTTCTCTTTGATGATGAACATGATAATGATGGTGAGCAGTTACTGGCTAAGATAGAATTTAAATTTACAAACACAGACGAAAAGCGTGACATGAGTTTACGTGTGCTGCGTGTTTATTCAACGAGGCTTTCATGGGTTTCATGCGTTTCCATTCCAAGGAAGAGCATGAAGGCTTCAAAATGCCATTGAATATATATATATTCACACTCTTCTCTCAAACCCTCGAGCCCAAATATGTTTTCTATTCATTACAACCATTTAGAATGAGTGCGGAAGGGGAGCTTGGTGAAGTACTTCAAGATGGTTAAGAACGGTCTCCATTTTGTAAATGATAAGAATCAAGATCGTTCACAAAATAAGTTCAAAGAGCTTAAAATAAGCTTCCAAATCAGATCTGAATCAACGCCATCGCCAAAACATCGAGTGTTTGTTTGGTTTGCTTCTACAAACAATATTATCATAAAGTTTTTTTTTTACTCTTTCAAGAAGTGCTTCTTGTACAAGCTTAATGGCGAATTCCTAATCAATCTTCTAATCTAGCTTCTGAAACTAGAAGGCAATAGAATCTTAGTCTCAGTCTGTCTTGATTTTAGATAGCAATCTGGTGATCCATAAATCAATTACGTGTAATGTATCAAAAAATATTATAATAATGAATTTTATTAATAAGATCAAATTATTAAATTTTGTTATAATGTTGCAATATTTATATTAGTATAATGAAATTACAATAACAATACTTAAACATATATAGTTTATAAAGTTCAAGAGTTAAATTTACTTGAACATTATTTATTTCAAATAGGCTACAATATAATAAAATTATATTTGTATAAGCTATTGTTACAATGGCAAGTTTATTTGATTGATTCAAACAAATGAATTTTTTTTTTTTTGAGTTATATTATAAATAATAAAATTTTATTGACTTTAATCGATTTATAAGGTAATGAATTTTTCTAAACTAAGATCTCACATATTGTTTGACGACTTGTTATCTTATACTTTAGATATTAATTGTATTGATTGATTTTTTAATAGTAAAAATAAATACGCACATAATCACTCTCCAGTCATACATACGAATACATAAAAAAAAAATTTTAAAGAAGTAATATAAAACGAAGAACTAAGCATATATTTTGGTTATGAAAATAGATCGATTGGAGGAAGGAAACGAAAGAAATTAAGAGTAGAATTGAAGAGGATAGCCTTGAGCATAAAGAGAGTGTATCGGTTAGGGGCTTGAGCATAGAGGGAACAAAGGAGCAAAATTATGAACTCCGAAGATCTAAAGCTTCAATACAATTATAGTTTTTTATTTTTTGTGGTTCAATTTTATTAAATTTTATCTAATGATAAATATAATTTTTAATAGATAAATTAATTTTTTTTTTATTTTCAAGTGTCCACTTATATGGTTGAAGAGTGGTAATATGCGTGCTAATTTTTACTATTAATTGAATAGTCGGTCAGTTTAATTAATAATATGAAACAAAAGATAGTGAGTTGTCTAAAAGTAAATTATAAAGTCTTAATTTTTTAAAAAAAATCAAATTATACGAGGTCAAATCGAAATTCATTCTAAATAAAATAGAGTATTAACTACTAAAAAAAGTAGATACGTATAATTAAATAAAAAATTAAATAAAATATCGACTACTAAAAAAAGTAAATAAGTATTAGTTAAATAAAAAAAAGTATGACAAATCAAATTAAAATTTATTCTAAATAAAATAAAATAAAATATTGACCACTAAAAAAATAGACGAGTATAGTCAAATGAAAAATTATACATTATGCAATGAATATATAAAATCTAAAATGTTAATATTTCTTATCTTGGTATATTAGTAATAATCTTAAATATTAATTCCAAATTCAAGTAAATGTAACAACGTTAACACATATATATTTATTTTAATATGAAAAAATAACTTTTCAAAACATTTGTTATGTTTTCCGTCATATTATCCATCTCTATATAATTAATTGTTTGTCTAGGTGAAGAAACAAATCATAAGGAGAATAAGAATCGGTTTCTACTGCTTCTTATATGTACGGCGAATTTTGAATAGTTTGTTAACAAACTAATTTATACGTAAGTTAATTACTGATTTTTTGTGCTTACTTTACTTTACAACTTATTTTCTTCTTATTGTATCTCTATTCCTTGTATTTGTAGTATTTTCCTAACACTTTTAAGTATGTCTATTATTATTTTTTTAGACAGAATTAAAAGGATAAGACTTGAGCATCTGGTTACATACTTACACAAGCTATCAAAATACTGAAATGGAGAATTTCTCAGTGACTTCAACAATAAAAACTTCTGATATGACATGCATAACAGAAGATTTGCCGGAAATGAGACTTACAAAAAGTAAAGAAGTCGATCAACTATTAACATGTCAATCTGAATCTATTCTTTCAAATAACGACGCTAGAAACACATATACAGATATACGTGTTATTTTGATTGTTTAAGCATTACAGAATTCATTATGGTCATATTCATAATCAAAACAATGTGATTACTAATCAATTTATTTATTTAATTTACATATTGGATCCAAATCCAATAATTTTATAAAAAAGAGTTATTTCATTTGGAATGATTTTCCAGCAAATTCATGAAACTAGGGTATTGGGTTTTTGAGTGGATGTAAAATCCATGAACTAGGGCTAATTGGACAGGCCCAAAAGTTGCACAAAACAATTCTTTACACACTGTCACCTACTTGCCCATGAGTTTGTTCTTGCTCATCCTAAGAAAGCAATGAAGGGTAAAAAAGAAAAGGACAAAAATTTTTAAGACAGTGAGTTCCTTCTTGTTGCCAAACAAGACCTTGCATACTCAAATTACCAGTACACCGCCACCATAAGCCCATTTTTCAGAGTAAATTCGTAACATAAATCTTCTGAAAATATCTAAAATTTTAAAAATTTAATATCTTTTGGTAAAATCCGGAAACCCATCGATATCAATTCGGAAGATAATCCATTCCCCCACAAAAAAACTGTTTGTTATTTTTAAATTATGAATTTCGAATTTTTTGGAGTCAGTTCCTTCTTGAATCTGCTCTAAGTACGTTGAAGATTAATGGATGAATTATAATTTATTTTATTTATTATTTTGAATTTAAATATAATTTATACTTTAATTATATTTTTAAATTTTATCATATTTAAGAATTTTAATTTAGAGGTAAGGATAAAATCAATATAAATACCCTAAACTGGTGTTGAACAATCACGACAAAAAGCAAAAACCTGAATAGTGTGAGAGTGTGCAGGCGCTGACAAGAAACTTCAGCTTGAAGACGAAATGGGTCGTTCTCGAGGGAATTTCCATTCCGACGAGGATCCGACCCAAAGGTATGGTTCTCTTCAATGATTTCTCTGTCATTGCAGTTCGTTTTTCTCTTTTAACCTTTGAATTTGAGCCTCCATTTGTCGGTTATTCTGGTTTGCTGGGGCGAGTTTTGACTGTTGCATCTTTCAATAGTTCGTATTTGTGGATTATTGAGCTGGAGCAGAAATGTGGTTTACTGTATGTCCGTTAATGAAAGATTTGGTGCATTTTGAAACGGATTTATGGGTAATTAGGCGTAATGGGGGTTAGACTTTTAAATAAGAGTTCTTAGCTACTCTATGTTTTTCATTTCTGATATGGGTTTTTAGCTTGGGTTCATTTGAATGGTCCGTATTCTTGATTGAGTTTTTGACTTCTTGCCCTATTCTTTGTTGAATTTTACCCATTGTGTTTATCTGGGAATCTTTTTTTGCTACAGTGAATTTGGAGATTTTGCTGAGTACTCTCTGTTCATTTCAAACTAATCTTATTTGTCAGATTGTTATTTTTTTTAAATTAAAAAAAAAAATCGTTACCTGTCAATATTCCGGACTGCCCTCTATGCCACTTCCAGTCATTGAGCTCAATTTAGTCTTTTTCTGTGATGATGAGTCTTTTTCTCAATCTACATAGTTTTGGCTACAATCTTGCACAGGTTTCATGTCTTTCTTTGGAATGACACTCTGTTTCATTTCCTTTACTCATCAATTTAGTGTCACCTGAATGCATGTTTTAATTGATGCAGATCAAGGAGAAAGAAGAATGCACCTAGTGGAGAAAATTCGGAATCTGCATTTGCAGGTATGGAGTTGTTTGGGAGACTTATAATTCTGTAATGAATTTGCTATACACTGTACTTTCAACTATTAATATCCAATAGCTTTGAGAATATATAGCATTAATTTTCTTGCTCTCTTGCTTTTGCTCCACATTATTATGAAAATTTATGGCAGATATATTTATTCCTTTTTATTTACTTGTGCAGATATATATTCCTTTCTTTACTAAAAACTTTTATTTATGATTCTTTTCTTAACATTTTTATCCTTTTATCTCCTGGATCAGGTCAAGGATCAAGTGAAGGGAAAAGGGCTTTATACCACTGCAACTATTGCAACAAAGATATTACAGGGAAGATCCGCATAAAATGTGCTGTCTGCCCTGATTTTGATCTCTGTGCAGAGTGCTTTTCTGTTGGGGCTGAAGTGACACCTCATAAATGCAATCATCCGTACAAAGTTATGGTTAGTATCCTGTAAATTATTAATTAACTTATTTTATGCGCTGATACTGCTATGGTATCTGTGGTCTGCTTTGTCAATAAATATTACTTCTTAGATTCACATAAAAGGGAGTTGAAATGAAAATTTCAAACCAACTTTCTTTTCTGGATCGTTTTCTTTAAATGTTCCATTACTGCAATAATGTTTGAACTTTATCTTCCATGAGGAAAAACAAAATTTAGGATATTATTTTCTTCTTTCTGTTTATATATTTGTATGATGTCAAAATAAGTCTAGGTATTGTCTGATTCTGCAACGGTGCAATGCTGACTTGTAGAAGGCAAAATGTAGCCATCTGATTTGCTAATTCATTTATATATTTTCATTTGAACAGGACAATTTATCTTTTCCCCTTATATGCCCAGATTGGAATGCAGATGAGGAAATGCTGCTTCTAGAGGTGCTTCAATTTTCTTTTCTCTTAATATCTTAAAGAAAGCCTTAATAGTCCTTGATTTCCTCAACCTAGTATTTCATGTCTGGACTGATTTTTAACCTGTCTTTTTAATCAAATAATTTCTAATTTCAGGGAATCGAAATGTATGGCTTGGGGAATTGGGCAGAGGTTGCGGAGCATGTAGGAACAAAGAGTAAAGAAAGTTGTATTGAACACTACACGAGTGTTTATTTGAACTCGCCATACTTTCCTCTTCCAGTATGGCATTTCCAATAAAACCCAACTTTCTTTTTAGCAGCAAGCTTCATAAAATAACTAGGTGTGGAATATTTTTCTTCTCTAGGACATGTCACATGTTGTTGGAAAAAATAGAAAGGAGCTTCTAGCTATGGCTAAAGGACATAGTGAGGATAAGAAAGGTTTGTAATAATGTTATACTCTTCTCCTTCGACCTATATTCATATTCTTTTGCTTAATTGTAATTTTCAGGCTATTCTTTTTATAACCATATACTTTTGTTCTGGTAATTTTCTGAGTGCCATATTGCGATTATTGCAGGTTCTTTAATGCTTGGGGAGCTTAACATGAAGGAAGAATGCCCCTTTTCACCTTCAAGAGTGAAGTAGGATTGCTATTCTTCTCTATATATGTCATTATTCATTACTTTGTTCATACACCTGGTTATCCAAATAATCAATACAGGGTTGAAGAAATGCATAGGATGGGCCCATCTGGCCGTTTACTCTCTGGTGGGAAAGCAGGTGAACTTCTACATGCTTTTTTGCAGCATCTCTGATTTATTTCACCATATAATCCTATTTTTATGACCCTTAGATTCTCTGCCTTATTTTCTTGACCTTGGAGTTAGATGCTGGGAATCGTTCTGGCAGCAAAAGCATGGAAGCAGCTGCTGATGTGGCCCAGGTTAAAGATGGCTCCAGCATTATTAAAGTGGAAGGTCTTTTTGTTCTTTTTTATCGTTTTGGTTTCTTCTTCTTCCATTCTTCATTTTCGCAAATATCTGTCAACTATAGAATACAAGCTCTAACAAATTCGTGCAATGTCCCCGAGCTCTAATCCATTCGAAACACCATTAGTTAATGTAACCCCACCATTTTGACTCTATATCTTGATTTTAAAAAATTATATAAGATGTAGTAGCCACTTTTCAGTTTGTATTCCTGCCTCATGAATTGATTATGATAAAAGTGTGGTTAGACCAGAATGTTCCTTAGAAGTTCTGTTTTATTTCAATAAAGACCAGAATGTTCCTTAGAAGTTCTGTTTTATTTCAATAACTCCTGGTGTCATTTGCTGAAATATAAGCTATCAGCACTGAGTTATATCTGTCATGCTTTCTGTGCTAACCATTATAAGTACATATTAATGAAGTCATAGGATTGTGTAATATATTGCTTCTGCAATATTAGACTTTTTACCTTGAAAAGAGTTGAATTGTTAACATATATATACTGTTTGCTTACCTAAACTATGTACTATTATGTTTCTTGTTTCTGAGTTATTAGAAAAAGTCTTGCCTGCAGTATATGATATGGCAATAAGCGATTGAATAGCTAACTAGCTGTGACCCAATATGCTGACAATAAAATACTATGTTTACTTTGTTCTTTGTAATTTGTAAGCAGATCCTCAAACAGACAGACCTTTTGGGGGGAAGAAACCGAACTCTCTGGGGAATGATAATCTAATAGAGATGAGTGGCTATAACCCCAAAAGACAAGAGTTTGATACTGAATATGACAATGATGCTGAGCAGTTGCTGGCTGAGATGGAATTCAAGGATACAGATACAGAGGAAGAGCGTGAGCTGAAGTTACGAGTGCTGCGTATTTATTCAAGGAGGTAAGCAACCAATAATTTTCTGTTTTGACAAAATATGTGTTCTGTAATGAGTTTGATGTGTGCCTATATATTGTGATTGGATGGATTTATAAATGAAAGTGTCATCCAAAAATAGTCCCTCTATCACTTGGCACCATGGCTGAAATAAACTTATTGCAGGCTTGATGAGCGGAAACGCAGAAAAGATTTCATATTGGAAAGGAATTTGCTGTATACAAATCCTTTCGAGAAGGACTTGTCTCCTGAAGAGAGAGCAATTTGTCGGAGCTATGATGTTTTCATGCGTTTCCATTCCAAGGAAGAGCATGAAGAACTACTTCGGAGTGCTATTGAAGAGCACCGTACTTTGAAAAGGCTCCAAGAACTGAAAGTATGCCACATTGCACTTTTATATTTACTTATTTCTGGCAGATGTTTTTGCTGCTATTTTCTGTTCAATAGTAGGGATCTAATTCCAATGTCAGAAAGCACACTACTTTTAGGGAAATACTTCATTTATTTTCTTCCCTTCATGCATTTATGATAAACTATTGCAGGAGGCTCGAGCTGCTGGCTGTCGTACGTCAGCTGAAGCGGACAGATATCTTGAACAGAGGAGGAAAAGAGAGTCTGAAGAAAGCTCCCGGAGGGCAAAAGAAAGTACCCAGGTTGGTACAGCATTCAGGGAGGTCCAAATGCATTCATGGCATCAGAGTCGGGCAAGATTCAATTGCAGACCTTCAGACAGACTTCTTCAGCTATCTTATGATTTGGACATACTAGCTTTTCTGAAACACAACTGCT